TATATATATATATATATATATCAGTAGCGATACTTGGTGGAGTAGTCTTTTGGAGCAATCACCAGGCCACGGCCTTTCCTTGCACCCCTGTACACAGTCTCCACGATGTCGATGAATTCCTGCTTATCCTTGAGGGCCCAATTAATCTTGTTGTTGTTCCCTGTCCCAAGATCGATCATGATATGCTTGTTCCTGAAGAAGAACATCACGGTCGAGGGATCATACAGCTCGTACATGGTATTGAAGTCTGGCACCTCCGTGATATCAACCAGGTAGATCACTGCAAAGTTCTTTATGGTTTCTGCAACAGAAGCCAGCACTTCATCCATCTGCAGACAACAATATCAGATACCCTAAGTTCCATTGGGTGACTACATATGACACAGATACATGAATGCCAAGTTTTCAAAATTTTGTATTAATCCCTTTACGTCAAAGTGTTGTGTATGCCCTGAAATCAATTATACACTACTGAGGAACAAGCAAGCAAACCATTAGGTTCTAATTATCTGGAGTTAGCTACATGCACACTCTATGTAATTAGAGTATTCAAATATATTTTTATTATTTCTAGTAAAGACTTACTATTTCTGTTTGCATTTCCTAACACCACTAATCCTAATCAACTCACTCTATCTAACCATAACATTCATAAGTTAACTTTGAATATATTAAGTATAAATTGAGCATATATTTATGTTTTAAAGTCACCAGATATTCCTATATATCTCAAACATATGCATGAACACTCCTTTATGTTGTTCTAGGGGTTTTCAGATATAGAGGAAATCATCAACAATTTTTCAAGTAACTCATATTAGAAGATCTATAAAAAAACCCTCTTCAATTTGCCGATCAAGAAAATTAAAATATTGTGTTGGCTTCTATCATCGGACCTTGAAGTTGGGATTACTGAACTGGCACATCTCAGCCTCAGGCCAAGCTGGATATGATAGAAGCAACTGATATAGTGCACATTTTAGTTTAAATTAATATTCAGTCAGCTCAGATGTGTTAGGTTTATGACTTAGCCTTTGATTGGCTATACTAGGTTCAGGCATATAAATTTTGCTTTCTATCCTTAAATGATTCCAGGATGTTCTTTGTCATGGATTTCAGGTATGGCATTAAAAAATCAACTAGATTAAAAATTGAGTCATGCTAGATTATGAGTAGGTATGCGATTATAGGAGTTCAGTCAGCTACTACTTCAAATAACAAATAATTATGAAGTCAAAAACAAAATAGATCAGGTGATTTCTTCAATGACTACTATTTTCTGATTTGTTTTCATAGTCCGCAAATCCAAGAAGAAGTCAAATTAAGCAACAAAGTTCAGCAGTGTGCCTATCTCTCTTTTGTAAAGAAGTCATTCATCCTTATTAAACAAAGTTCAGCCGTTTGCCCGGATCGTCTATCACAGCTCGAGTCAGTTATAAGTTCAAGAGAAAGAACACCCGGTACCCTCCGAACATCACCAAAGGTATTCTTGATCCTATGAGTCCCATGCAACACCCCTCTTATCCCCCTAATCATAACTTCTCGCAAAGTGACAACTCCAATACTCGTCCGCCTTGGCATCCTGCCCCTTCAAGCAAACAACGACGGGTCGTCTGCTAATTGTGTGATAAAGTCGGACACTCCGCTAAAGTTTGTCAGTCTCGACCCCGTCTTCCTGCTCCGTCACACTGGCCTCAAGCAAATCTCTGCACTTCTCCGACAACTAGCCAGCCCAACTGGATTGTGGACTCTGGAGCCTCTCATCATATCACCTCTGATCTTCAGAATTTGTCTCTCCACAATCCCTATGGTGACGATGAAGATATCATCATCAATGACGGCAAAAGCCTTCCTATAACTCATACTGGTTCCACAACGCTTACTTCTGATACTACCACATTTACACTCGATGATGTCTTATACGCCCCTAATATTAAACACAACCTCATTTCTGTTTTTCAATTTTGCAAATATAACAATACTTCAATTGAATTTTTTCCTGATTCCTTTCTTGTTAAGGACTTGAGCACGGGAGCATCCTTGGTTCAGGGCCCGAATAGAGGCAACATTTATGAATGACCGTCAGCTCCACAAATAACCCAGCCCACTGTTCATTCTTCCGTTGCAGCTCTAGTTATTGTGTGGCATCGTCGTCTTGGTCATCCCTTATCCCTTATTCAGCAAAAATTGCTTTCTCGTTTCTCTCTTCTTATTTTTAAATCGTATAGTTCTATACCGCATTGTGATGCTTGTTTCAGTAATAAAAGTCATCGACGGTCATTTGGCTCATCTTCCATTTCCACCTTTAAACCATTTGAAATTATTTATACTGATGTTTGGGGCCCTGCCGCTATCCTGTCTTTTGATAAATTCAGATTTTATGTCATTTTTGTATATCACTTCACTAAGTACACATGGTTATATCCTCTTCACCATAAATCTGACGTTTCGACCATCTTTCCCACTTTTCGAAAGTTGATCGAAAACCACTTTCAGTCTACCATCAAATGGTTTACTTTGATGGCGGCAGTGAATATCAAGCCCTAGCGTTCTATCTCTCAGCTTGTGGTATCCAACACCTCAAGTCTCCCTCGCATACTCCTCAACTTGTTGGCTCCGCCGAACGCAAACATCGGCATATAGTGGAAACTGGGCTCACACTTCTCCATCAGGCTTCCATGCCTTCAAACTTTTGGACGGCAGCTGCTGATATAGTGCACATTTTAGTTTAAATTAATATTCAATCAGCTCAGATGTGTTAGGTTTATGACTTAGCCTTTGATTGGCTATACTAGGTTTAGGCATATAAATTTTGCTTTCTATCCTTAAATGATTCCAGGATGTTCTTTGTCATGGATTTCAGGTATGGCATTAAAAAATCAACTAGATTAAAAATTGAGTCATGCTAGATTATGAGTAGGTATGCGATTATAGGAGTTCAGTCAGCTACTACTTCAAATAACAAATAATTATGAAGTCAAAAACAAAATAGATCAGGTGATTTCTTCAATGACTACTATTTTCTGATTTGTTTTCATAGTATGCAAGTCCAAGAAGAAGTCAAATTAAGCAGCAAAGTTCAGCAGTTTGCCTATCTCTCTTTTGTAAAGAAGTCATTCATCCTTATTAAACCAAGCTAAAATCCAGCTAACCCAAAACAGAGAAAGATAGTGGTTAACTGCTTATAAAAATCTTACTTGTCTATTTGGACTTCAAGTTTGAGCAATGTGCCTACAGAAAATAGAACTCTCTACCTGATTTTGACATTGGAGAAAGTAATGGAATCTGATTGTCCTGTTTAACTTCACTTTCATATTCTCTTGCCTGTTCTCTCATAAATCCTCTGGCTGCTGACTTCTGCTTTTAACATATATTTGCAGAAACAATACTCTTTTTTCAATCCAATAAACCCAACTGAGTTGACCTGAACCCACACTATTCATTTACATCAAGATACCAAGGATACGTCACCGAGCTACTAAAGAATGAGCGATAACCCACACTATTAATCTCTTAGAGATAATCTCTTCCAAATTGTAGGGATTGAAACTCATCTTGGACTAAGAACCGTTTTTTGAAAGACTGATTAAAAATCCATGGGATTTCACCTGGATTAAGAATAAATTCTTATAATACAATGAATATATTGATGAAGCAGAGGGATAATTTTACAGTCAACTTGTGATGCAAGAGAATAATGCAAGCAAGATGATGAGAGAGATGATTATTTATTCTCATTCTCGGAC